CACTTTATGAATATGTTGGTATCAGTGCTCAAGAGGTTGTTGAAGACACCTTTAATGATGAACCCTTGGACATCCACACAGCTGGGCTCATCAGTGAAGAAGTGGATGTCCCTGAGAATAATGTGTATGAAGTGACAGTGTTCATAGTGGAGCAGGTGGAAGTCACAGACAGATTTTGGCCTGAGGAAACCAAGCCAGAAATGACTGCAGAACCAGAATCAAGCCTAAGTTTATATTTCACAGAAGATGTCATGGCTGCGGAGGAAAACGACACTGAGGAAGGCCTGCCACTGGAGGCCATTTCCGGTCTTCCAAAAGTGGTGGCAGATTGCATTTTAGCCGTTTTTGCTGCTCCTGCTGAAACCGCTGCCTGCCCTGCTGTAATCACGTCAGAGCCAGGAATAGATAAGGTAATTACCGAAGACAACAGTGAAGAAGCTGGAGACATGTCAGCTGATGTAGTGCTGATTGAAACCACTGAACCTGAGCCTAATGCTGTCACTCCTCAGGCCAGGGAACCAAATGGCATTCCCTCCCAAGACAACGAACCAGTGGCCACGGTGACAGAAACAATCTCTGAGGTTGTTCATGAGGAGCCAAATCCTACACCTGCATACCAAGATGTGCCTGTAGAAGAGCTTGCTGTCCCCATTGAGACTGAAACTCTAGTTAAGGTGGAATCTGCCCATGAGGAGGTCACTGCTGATGATGCTGAACGACGCAACCCTCTAACTGCTGACAAGCCTTCAGAGTACTGTTATAGTTGCCCAGAGGTAGAATTTGCCACTCTGTCTTCTGAACTGCCTGAAGATGCTTTAAATAGTTCTGATCTTGAAGTCAAGCCTGAGTCTACTACAGATGAGAGCCCTGATGTTGGGGAAGACATGATGGCTGAGGCAGAACCAGAAAAAATTCAAGGGTCACAACCCAGTCCTGCCATTGTCAAAGACAATGCAGAGGAAATACCAGAGGCAGCAATTGATTGCCTCTCTCAACAACTGGAACCTCAAGCCACCACTCCTCAGGAGCCTGCAGCAGCTAATGGTAGCGCTTCAGGAGAAGAACTTATCACTGCAACAACTTTTGTACCCCTCACTCGACAACAAAAAACAAATCTTTCTCTCCAAGAAGAGACGACTGAGACAGTTGCTGAGGAAACAAATGAAGAGGTTATAGAGGTATTACTAAAAGAAACTGAAACAGCTCCTGACAGTGTTAACAAAGACATCGCTGTCCAAGAGTCATCTACTAAAGACAACGTTACAACAGGAGCCACAGAGGTTACCGGTTCTGAAGAATCTGTGGAAGAAAGTGAAGCATCTGAAACCACTTTGGTGAATGCTGAAAGCCCTCCAACACCAGAGGAAACCCCTGTTGTCTTGCAGGAAGAGAATTCTAGCCCCTGTTAAAAAGATGCAACCACTGAGCTATTGGAGAATGTTGTTGAAGCTATGTTAGAGAACCCTGAAGTAACTGAAAACAGTTAAAAAACAAGACAATGAACAAGCAGATGAGTCACCGATGGACGCCACAGAAGAGTCTGAGCCCTGTGTGTCAATCCAAAAGGAACTCGATGAAGAGTGCGCTGCCACAACTGAAGCTCCGTTGGAAGGTCCCGAGAAAGAGACAGATGCTGCATCTGTGATTAAAGTCTTGGACTCTGTGGAAACTACTGAGTTTAACCATGTTGTTTCTGAAGAGGAGAGGCAGCAACAAACACAAATGGTGGATTTAGACAAGAGATAACATGTGAAACTGATAATTCTGGTGATGTTTCAGCTGCTGTTGGGGAGAACACACAAGATTCTCAAATTAACACTTCAACAGAGTGTGTTGAGGCCATTCTTAACACCATTGCAGAGGTAATCATTAGAGAAGAAACTGAATGCAAACTTGTGTCTTAAGTGTAAGTAGCAGCAGAGAGTGAGGCTGAAGAGAAAGGTGAGAATATATCAAGTGTGAAATAAACAGAAATTGCAGGAAAAAAATCAAGTTCATGCGTGGAAGCATTAGTTGTTAGGCTGCACTCAGCTCCTACATCGTCTGTTGAAGAACCAATATATTTGCTTGATGGTTTTAAGATGTTTTCACTTGACTACAGTGTTACTGTTTGATTTCATGTGGTTCCAAAGGAAGAACAGCAGGACTTACAGTATTCTTTTTCACCTACCTCATCATGTGTTAAATGTATGTGTGTGTATATAGTGTGTGATAATAGATGCAACTGGAATGTAAAATGATTCATGCTTTCTAACAATGCACAGTTTATATATATGTATATCATCAAAACAAAGCTCACATTGTAAAATACTCAAACACTTTCCAATAAAATTAAAACACTGAAACTCTTCATCTTCATTCATAATTTTGGTCATCTGCATTATATGGTGTTTAGTGAAAAATGGTACTTGCTTAAAGTTGCCTTGGAATATAAGATTGAGCCAAAATAACAAATGAATAAATTTAGTAAACAGATTCACTCAAAATGATCAGAAAATCAGGATTGGTCGGCTCCGATAATTTAAAGACCCTCACCGTAGGGCCACAGCAAGGTATTTGACTTTTCTGACATTTCTCAGGGCATAACTCTCAGACATTGTTGAATATCAATGAGTGAGGGGTGGGACACACACATTAATAAAAGGGTGATTGTTGACAATGCCCTGAGTAGGCAGAGGCATGGTTGGAATTGTGCTTCCATCTCAATGCTGCGATTAAGACACTCACTGCTTGCATATCTGCTCCGCTGCTCTAACATAACTCTCAAAGGCTAATTCTTTGTGATGGTGTATAGGAGACGACTAACCTAAAGCAAGAATCTGAACCGTTAACGGAACCGGAGAGTGTGACTCCAGACTCTGGTCCAGAGGAAGAGCAAGTTCCTGAAACTGACAACGGAAACAGACAGCCTGTGGAAAGCCAAGAGGAGAGTAATCCAGAAGAGAATCCAGTTATGAACTTCTTCAAAACCCTGGTAAGTGACACGACTTGAGGAGTTGGGTGGGGGCTTTACATTTTTAATATTTCTAATTTCTTGTCATGTGAAATTAGGCTGATTGTAAAAAATATATTAAGGAATTTCAGTAATCAAATGTGAAAAACAAGTCCATCTTTATGTCTGTAAGTATTTCTGAGGGCTGCACAGCCAACAAAAATCTAGTTAATATGTGTTCTAATTATTGCAGACTGCCTCAGTGAAGCTGAAATGTTGGGTAATTTGCCTGATAAGGTAGCAATCAGTGATGATAAATTAATCAGTGAAGAGATGTTATGTTACTTGTAAATCATCTTTTTCTATGTAGATTTATGTAAAGAATATTACTCTATAAGGCGGTAAAGGTATCCATGACAAAATCTGCCGTGATGGCAGCGCCTGATGGAAAACCTACAACAAGCAGCCATTGTATTTCCTCTTCATCATGCTGTCTTTGGGATTCATGCCGTTTTAAAGAGTTACCATTGCCCTAGCCCCATGCTAATCAAGTCTTTGAACATGCGGGAATGTGGTGGCCTATTGTTCATCCCATAGTGTGAGCTCACAAGGGAGGCCTGTGCAGTTGGAAGTTGAGATTTGTGAAGATAGAGCGAGGGCAGGCCTACGCCATCTCCGGAGCACAATGGCTGTCACAATGACAGCGCATGTACTGTATGTGCCCTGTCAGGGACCTCAGTGTGCACTCTGTGGGCCTCAGTTAGCTTACCATAAAGGCCTATGTCTGCATTTGTGAATGGCTTCTGTTTCATCCAAATAATTATTTTTCTGTTCCCGTTGCATCAACTATATCCTCTGACTCTGAGTTTTTTGCACTGCGGCTTTGCTAGCATGAACATAAAATAACACAATGCTCAATGATGCTTACACTTTCAGCATTTGAAGGATTGGGATTTTTGTTTTTCTTAGGTTTTCTGTGCAAAAAAATAATTGAAGACAGTTTACTTTCATTCCTTTGTTGCACAGGTTACTACCACTAAAACATCCACAAAGGAAACAGCTACTCCTGATGCCACAAAAGATCAGGTGAACAGATGTTCATGAAGCATTACACAGCATCTACGATATACTTATTTTATTTTCTAAAATACACTTACAGGTTACTGTTATATTCATTCCTATTTCTGAGTAGTCCTGATTTCAAAAAAGTACAGATACATTTTGAATGACCATTAGAAGTGTTTACAGTACATGTACACAAGCTTTTTGTTGATCTTTGTTTGCTTCAGTTTAACTTCAGCTTTCTTAACGGCTTCTTTTTTCTGTTGCAAAATAGTCCCAGAAGGAGACCCTACCAGCGGCAACCACTACTGTGAGCATGCAGCCCATGAAGTGTTTTGATTTGCATTTTGGCAACCACATGAAATTTATATAATTACTGCACATGGCTTGTTTTACAAAATGATAAATTTTTAATAGATCAAGATGGAACAAAATGCAATTGCTAACACCATATCTAGTGTTACAGCCCCGTAAACTGCCACTAAACGAAATGTTTTTGCTGGTAAAGGTTAAAAAGTGAAGGTTTTATATGGTTTTTCCATTATCATTCTTCCAATATGCCATCTTTCTCTCTCCTCTCTCTCTCCCTTGAATAGGTTGCACAAATATCTGAACCGCCTGCAGCACCCAAAGGAATGTCTATCCCACCACCACCTCCTCCAGAGCCACCAAAAATGGAAATCAAAGGAGAACCAACTGCCAAACCTGTAAAGTCAGTGCCAAAAGAAGAACCAAAAGCTGCTGCGAAGCAACCTGAGTCCTCAAAAGGAAAATCAGCCAAAGATACTCTGAGCAAATTCTTCCGCCCCAAGGTAATCAAACAGCTGTGACTGCAGATTGCAGATTCAATCTCTATTTAAAGGGAGTCATGTTCACTACATATTACACAGTATGCCAGATTGTAACATAGTGTGAAACATACTGTATGTGAATTTGAGGTACTGCTAGGAGTCAAGATATCCAAAGGCAAGGGTGCTTCAGCAAGTGGAGCCAGTGCCCTGGCCAAGACTGCAGCAGTGGTACAGTAGATTATGATACTCTTAAACTGACCATGGCTCATCCTGTTACTAACTGAGCGAGAGCTGATTTGTCTGGAGGTGGCAGAAACTTCTGATAGTAGCAGCAATTCTGTAGAGTGGTTTTTCTCCTGCTTCAAGCTCATCCAGGACAACCAAGTTTTGTACAATCCTTTAAAAGTATGGCTCTTTAGTTAGACATGCAAAAATAGTCTGACTGGAGAATATTTCAATGGAAAAACAAATCAGCACTAGTGTTTCTACCACAGTCCATATTTTATTTACAAAAAAAGTACAATCTTAGGCAACAGTTTAATCATATCCAAGCACCTCTGCAGCTTACTGATAAACACATTACATCTTGTTCCTTTCAACTGCCTGCTAATTCAGCTTGTCATGTCAGCTTGCCAAAAAGTGCACCTGGTGGCTCATCACCAAGAAATAGTTACAGCACATAACCACAATCTGTCTTTTCTTTTTTTCATTTCAGTTTTTTTTAACGAGAGACAAGGTTTTAATTACTGAGCTTTAGGCCATAAACATGGTCCCAAGTATGTGAACACAGAGGATTTAAGTTACGTAAGATCAATTTCATGTATGAGGTGTGTCAGCTGGGAAATCTTAAAGAACCCCTCTCTATCTTGTTAACATGTCCTATGTTGTTTTTATATAATGGAAGGTACATTATGAGCAAAATAAGCAGTCATGGCTTAGTATTTCTGTCCGTCTTCAGACTTCCAGGGTTACGGACGTAACAAATTTTAGGAGCCTGTCAACTTGCAGGGTGGCACTTTCTGTATCATTATTCTTTTTTGGAATCAGTTTACGGTTCAACGATGTATGGCTACCCACTCCAATACTACAACTTACCATTGTGTAACATAGAGTCGTTGTAGGTGAGCTGGCATGCTCACGCTGCAGTGGGCAGTGGAGAGGTGGGTGGAGAGAGAGGCAGGGACGTCATAGATCTGCAGACTCTGGAGAAAGTAATGGTGCAGAGGTAGATCTAGACCTTTTCAAAGCAGAGGGATTATTTTCATGGCGGGAAAAAAAACTCATAAATATGCAATTTTGATACACAGAAAGGAGTTTTGTGGTTTATATCAATTACTTTTTTTTAGGGAAATTAAAGCAGAGCTGCAGCTACTGTATGAGTCACAAAGTTTTAGCAGTTGTCTGTATTTCCCCCAAGAGCTATTCAGAGGCTACATATCACATCTGCTATGTGCTGTGTGCTGTGTTCACACACTGTGGTCATGGAAATGCTCTTAGTGTTGCCATTCGTGTCCATGCACTGGTGTGAACTGTGTTTGGAGCCTTACAGATGCTGTCAGTTGTAATCTTGAAATGCTAAGCTAACCTAGGTTTAGTTTGAAGCTCACACGCAGACGTGACAGCATAGCGACCCTTTTCGCTGACTCATCTAATGCATTTGAGCTTTTCCTTTAACCAGTTCATAACTGTCAGCATCTATTGCCATGCTAACATATTAAGCCTTCCATAATCGTAATTTCTCATGTGTTCTAGAGATTCTGAGGACATTTCATGTCTGACTTTTTGGTTTTAAATAAAAGAAACAATCCTTTCACCGTGCAGACAATCAAGGAGGTGCCACAGCCAGGTGTAAAAATACAGGTGAACTAGAGAATCTGCTTCATCTTCTCAGTTTCACTCAGGGAATGGAATATCAACGTATTCTGGTTTGAATGTGAATCTCTTATACCTGCACAGGGTTTTGAAACCTCAAATGAGGCCTTGTTCAGAGTCTAAATTACTGTTTCAGTAATCACCAACCACAGTGCCTGTGTTACGTACCACACATGCTATATATTTAATTACAGTGCTTTAAATGTTCATCTTTATTTGCAATCTGTTCAGAATAAAAAAAAGCAATTTTACTCTGCAGGGGAAACCAGTGGAGATACCAGAACCTGCTGTAGAAGTTCAGGTAAATGTAAGGAAAGTTGTCAGTGTTGTGTCTTTTTTTAGGGAGTGGAACAGTATTCTGATTCTCACATCACCAGTATGTACATAACTTTAAAAAAATAAAAATAAAAAATAATAATAATAATATTTACATGTTCTAATTCATTTGCATTTGCTCAGATTGAAAATAAAGTTGAGCCTCAGGAGCCGGCAGCCGAGGTGGCACAGCCAGTTTTAGAAGTGCAGGTAAATGAACAAGAAGTCCTCGGGAATATTAATTCTTTTCTTCATTCTACAGGCACCTCTGAAATGACATGTACAAAATATATTATATTGTTCCACTTGTAATATTTCATTTATTTCAGTTAATTTTATTGTAATTTTTATTATCAAAGTTAAAGGATTTTAGCGTATCGCGCTTATCTGCAGTAAAAATTTCCTTCATGACACATTTTGCAACATTTATTGCACATCATACAACATTTAAACTAACACCAAAACAAATAACTTTCCCTCACCTGCAGATGGTGGATGGTGCACATCAGCCAGTGGTAGAAGCTGAGGTAAATTAGTAGAGTTTAACATTTTGGGAAATGTGCTTTTTTGCTTGTTTTCTAAAGGTTCACATGAGAAGATTGATACCACCGTCATATCCGTTCATTAAATGTAAGGAGATGGCTAACTTAGCTTAGCATTAAGACTGGAAGTCGGAGGAAACGGCTAGCCTGGCTCTGACATTTTATTTTGGATTTAAACAAATAGCATCTTGCTTGCTTAGAATTAAGAGTGACACCAATCTTCTTGTGTTGCTTTCTGCAAAGGTGCAAGTGTCAATGGCGTATTTTCCGAAATGTCAGCTATTCTGTTAAAGGGAGGAAAATTTATGAAGTGGAGATTGACACATTTCCTTTTCTGTCTTGTTTATCTTTCTTCTTACAGAAAATTGTTTTTTTGTGCATGATGGTGTGGGCTCCTTTCTTCTTACAGGGACCGGTTCTTATCTTTAACTGATTTTTTGCCTCCTCTCTACTCTGACCTTGGATATTTCCCTCACTTACCTCCTCTTTCATGTCACAGGTGGCACCTCCTGCTCAAAGTCTGTCCACTTCACTGATGACCATGACTTTGATTTGTAAATATCTCATGATCTACGTTTTCCTCTTTTGCTGTTTTGTTAAAAGAAGGTGGATCCCTCAAAATCTGGCACTCTGGAGGCAGCTGCAAAGCCTGAACCTCCACCACCTGTTCAGGAAGAAAAGAAAAAAGCTTCAAAATCGACCTTCTTTTCTCTCCTCAAGCCCAAAGTAAGGACCTATTCCCTTTTATAAGCTCTTAAAACCTCTGAAAATCTGTGGGTATAAATTGTGATGAAGTTATTTAACAGCAAGTTAACAGATTCATGTGAATTTGAGGAACTGTTAGATCACATGACCACAAAAGTCCAGGCAGCCTCCACAAGTGGAGTTCGGCTCCTGAGGAAAACTACTGGACTGGTAAATACACAAAGATGACCTCTCCTGAATAGATGCGTTATTAACCAGAGTAATTTCATCAGTTACATCTGGTGTTAACATGCTCTAATTTCAGTTTCTTTGGCAGAAAAGTTTGGCAGGAAAGTTTTTCTCCATTTGCTGTTATATCTGAAAATTATAACAACACATCAGAGTGTATGAGATCATCACTCATAATGTTGCACTAAGACAAACCGTATCCTAACAGTAGATGCACATTTTAATGTCACTTCAACTGCTGCCACGTCCATCTGCACTTAACGAGCAAAGTGCATAAGCTGCTGGTATGGGTACTTTACATTAGCAAGATCTAGGACTGGAATGATTCAGTTTTCACTTTCAGGCTGCTGAGCCCAAGAAGGCGACCCCGACCCCACCGGCAGCAGCAGAGGCAACTCAAGCAGTCAAAGCCAAGGAGGAACCCAAAGCAGCAGCCAAGCCATCAGAGGCGGTTGTAGATAACAAACCAGCTTTGGTGGCCTCCCAAGCTGGAGATGATGCAGCCAATGTGCCCAAAAGACTGGAGAAGAGGAACTCCATCCAGCTGTTCTTTAAAAATCTGGTGAGTTCTCTATATACATTGTTGACTGCAACTCTGAGGCAGAAATGTTGCACTGTTAGAACATGCACAACATACCTTTAATTCAGGTACATGCACATGTCTTTTAAATGTCCAGAGATATTGCACTCTGTTTTGTGTTCCCTCCACTAGATGGCAGCAGCCACTTGTTAAGTTTGTAAAGGTGTCGGCCCTTTTAAGCCAAGCACATGAAAACTTTACACTGCACGTCTCGAATTTGTATGCACAGTTTGTTATTACTACAGTCACAGGATAACCATTAAAGCATCACTTTGTCCTCAGTGTAACCTAATTCAGAGGCCACATTCCAGGCAATACCATTTAAGGAAACAATACATGTAAGAAAAAATTCAGAGGTACTTTCTCCATGTTAGGTATTGTTCACCACAACTAGGAAAATAATTTAGAAGATTCAGATAAAATACCAACAAACATCTAAACACAAGCATCTACCATTTTTTCCCTTCCAACAACAGGGTCAGAAACGTCATTCCACAGACGCCGGGGTCCAGACAGAGCCAGTGACTGTTGCTCCAGCAGCTGAGAAAGCCAAATGAAACCACAACCAACCTTCACGTTTCCCTGTACAGACTCCCCCTCTCTTACTCAATCTTTATCTCTCTCTCATCACCCCCTTAAACCCCCTGAATTACTTTAACTACATGTTTTGTTTTTGTTACTGTTTAGAAGTTACAATACATAAGGAAAGGTTGCTGGAAGGACAAAAGAAAGTGAACAGTTGAGAGAAAGAGGAGCAAGTAGGCAGTGGAACTAGTGGAGATGTTAAACGGTCAAATGTGACGGCAAGTTTGTTGAGATATATATTTTTCTGGTCATATCAATGCCTTGACAAGTACAACAATGTGAGTGTGAAACCTTTTCTACAGATGTGACTTCTCTCTGTTTTGCTAACACACTCAGCTTATGCAATATACTGTATAGTGCCAGGCTTTGCTTTTAGCAGTTCATTTGTCTGGAAAACTTAAAAAAAAACACACACACACACACAGTTTCATATAGGTTCTATTTTTACAGTTCATACAAGAAAATTCCTGCAGTGTGGTAATGCAGAGGTTAATATGAAATGATACTGAAAAAAGGACTTAAATATAAATACAACTCCTAACAGAGCTGATATGAGGAGCATGTCTATATAGCGGATTGCTCTTACAGATTTTTTTTTAACTCTGTGTAAGCTATACGTAGACTAAAGCACAAACGTAACGGTTATGTGTCGGGCCAAACGGGAAATCACAATCTTTACTGTTCTGTAGGGAACTGATTGTAAATACTCACAAAAGCATCTGAGGTGGCAAAATGGTGTCGCTGCGCAAATGTGTCCTCGTGGTCCGTTTTGCAGTTGTCATGAATCACAGCAGCTTTTAATTTGAGTTCAGCACTTGGTGTCACGTCATTTAACTGAAGTCTTACGGTGTTAGTCTCTTGTGTTTGGCATATGTGCAATTAATATTAGGCTTTCGTTTGCCTTTATGTATACGAGTATGTGTAACTTCAGATATGTTGAAGACAATAAATATGTTTGAAAACTGCTCTGTTTCTTCATCAGTGGGCACTTTAATGGGAGGCATGTAAAGACAATGAATCTGTGTTGCCTAATTTGATCGAAATCATTTTCCTGTTATATGAAACAATAAATAACAAAACTCAATTCCAATCAGCTTTATTAGTCGCACTAGACGTTCCTCTGTGCAGGAAAAACCCTAAATACCATTAAGAAACTTCATCAACAATAACTGGGCGTTGCAACAAGAACAAAAAAAAAAAAATCAACATGTGACTCAGCAAGTTTGGCAACAAAACCAAATATGACATTGTTTTACCACCGACATCCCAATCATTTTCATGCTCACAAGTTAATGCACTAAAGTAGTGAGCGAGTAGGGTGTGGCACATGAGTCACACTGTGTAATACTGGGAGGTACACGTTGTAAGCTTTACTCATCTACAGTATGTATTTGTGTTGCTGACAGACAGGTGACAGAAAGACACCTGAACAGTACAAACCTCAGTACAGGCCATCATTTGTCCCTGTGTCTGACGGACAGACAGACAGGGATCACTACTGAATATTTATACACATTTTTAAGAGTCTGTGAGACACACCTTAGAGATAAAAGATGTAAAACAAGATCTGAGGAATTGGATATTTCGGGTAAAGGAAGACCTCAAATCTTCTTCTACGTTCATGATGTAATTTCTGTGATTGATAGCGTAGTGTGCAGTCTTTGGAAGGATGTGTTTTAGATAGAAATGTCTGAGACCCACCATTCACCCACCATTAAGTGATGAGTCGCAGCCCCTGAAGGCATAACTCACACTGCTCCTTTGTTATCAATGAGACACACTCTTCTTGTATTACTGTCTATAATAGGTGTGATGATTTTAAATTGTGCATCAAAGTAATTGCCATGGCACTGAAGGAGAAAAAGTGAGGAACTGCTTGTGCAGTTAAAGACATGTGTTCCATTGTCTCTCCTTTCCCCTGAGGATGGTTTCAATTAAGACGCAGTGTGACGTTTTTGCCAACACTAACGTTTATGTGTGAAGAACTCGTTTTCATTACCAAACAAAGTAGAGTGCTGATGGAAGTAGCAGATAGAAGTTTTGACTGAGTTTTAATGAGACAAGAAGAAGAAGAAGAGGAAGAAAAAGCAAAACTTTTGACATGTCTGTCGTCTACTATTAAAATTAATTGGGATATTGTATGAACAAAATGCACTTACACAAATCATTGCATTATCTTAAAATAAAAATGCTATGGAAGCCAAACTGAACCTCATTGCCAGTTTTCTAATGTTTGTTTAATGCACTCATCCTTTTATGCATTTAGGCTTCTTGGCAAAACAAAAACTGTGCGGGTGACGACAACAGCTGCATGTCTTTACATGCCGTGTGTCAGATTGAGAGCTTTTAAGAGGGAAGGCTTTTTTGTACAATTGCAAAGGTAATCAAATTCCCAAGGGCAGGCTTATCTCTTTTGCAGAAGACTCATAGAAAGTCGACTGATAGAAACATTTAAAAGTATGGATTTAACAATGCAAAGATTGTACACGCTGCACCAGATCTGCTCGGCCACCATGTTGCTGCAGTTCATCCTAGGACAATGCATGTGACTGTGTGAAAGCACTCAGCTCAGAGGGGGTGAAACAAGGGAACAGTGGGCAGGGAGGCCTGACAGGAGGCCTGCTGTCAGCACTAATGTGCATCACGGCAGTGCTCGCGAGTAACAGGTCTGTTCTGTGGGGAAACATGCGGATGAAACAAATCCAGGGACCGAGGAGGACACTGAAAGCACAGATTTTTATCTCATAACAAACTAATAGTCGTGACCTATACATTAAAAGACAGTTTCATTCATCTGAACCCAGGGTGAAACAGCTGGGCCTGCAGGCACAGCCGCTGTGTTTGTGTGTTGGGGAGGTATTCTAATGCAGATGCTCTCTGGGGATTTTTAGGGTTGGTTTTTACACTCTTCGGGGGAATGTTGCATCCTGCTGGAGGGACAAAAGCTCTGTGTAGTTTGATACAATCCTTTAAATGATTACAGCCATTATTTTAAACACTGATACTGTATTCAAATCAGTGATGTGATCATGATTAAAGGTCAACTAATGAGGTCAGCTGTGCATCAAAAAAAATCTTTAAGCTTAAAAACAGCCACAGTAAGTTAGAACACCGTTAGTCATATGGTAAGATGAAATGTCTCTCACAAAATCAAAACAATTAGGGCTAAACAATTTATAAAAAAGTTATTCAAATTGCAATATGGCCGAGCGCAAAATTCACATTACAGTGGCAGCAATTCTGTTTTTGATAAAGGTCAAATGTAACTCAACATAAATGAAGCACTGTGGTGCTACAGAGATTCTGCAACTCATATCCTCCAGCTGAAGGGAAGCAAGCTTGTTACAGTAAAAAACATATTTTTACAACATTTTTTCCAGTGACAAAGAAATGCCAAAATTACCTTTCCCCTTAAAAAAATCGAGATTCAAATCGCAATTGTAATATCTGTCAGATTATTCAAGATATTATTTTTTCTGCCTACTGTAAAATAATGTGTAAAGTTTTAAGATAAATTTAAGAACGCTGCCAAAAAAGAGATATAATGTACATGTTAAACACAGTGCAGAAAATAAGTGACTGTGGCAAATATCAGTCAAAACTTATTTCTAATGTTAAAAAAAAAAAACTCAAGAATTAATTTGAAGTTAATCTCAGACTCAGGTACAGATCTTCAGGACTGAGCCTGAGGCCTAAACTGTAGACAGCCCTCAACATAAAGAAGTACAGAGTGTTAGACAGGTTTTTTTTTTGCATTCAGAGCCAATCTGTCTAAATTTAGGTGGCAGTCATATTCTACCACTTTGAAAGAAGAAGTATTTATATCTCTGCACCGTGTACTTTATGTTTGAAAGGAGATAAAGGTGACAAGCAGCATTATTCATTTGTTTGTCCCAGTTTTTATGGTGATAAAAACAGATCAGATAAATAATATTACAAGATAAATCCAAGATCTGTTAAATTAAAAGAAGAATGGCACTAGGAATATTGACTTATTAGAGTAAGATTGTTTGCTCATTTATTTATGTGTCATTTACCTCTATATTGTCTTTTATATGCCAATTCATGAACAACAAATGTGAGTCTGCATACTTCATGTCCTTTGTGTCTTCTGTTTTCTATGTGTAACTTTCCATATATCATTGAGGGGTCACAGTGAAACAAAGAAAAGTCTGAGTGTCAAAGGAGGTCATACAGACAGCAGGACACTGGCTGCAGAACAAAGACACTCCTCCTTTACCTAATTTGGCCCCAGGAAAGAGGGGAAATATTTCCAACATGAACTTAGATTGGTTGCATTATGGGATGCTTTCGGAAAAAACGTCTCTTATGATCAACAACACAACAGCTGGTAGCGCTGAATAAACATTACTGGGATGGGGTTGAGAAAGGAGATTATATATTATCAGTGTCTTTCAGAAGCGACACCAGGATTATGAAAGAAGCCAGGCTGTGAATCTGGAGGAGAACAATGCAGTCAGCTGCTCCTGACACGTCAAGACAAAAACAAGCCACCACAGCCTTTCCCCATTCGTTGATCCAGCCCCTATCAGGCTGTCTGTCTACTGAACACAGAATAATTCATTCAAGCAATCAGTTCTTCAAAGATACTGCTTTATCTTGAATTAGAATGAACTGCTTTCAGCACAATGCCCTGATGCATTTTTTTGTAAAGACACAATCCGAGACAATGACTTTGCTGGATTTTTTGAGAGAGAAAATACATTTGCATAAAGTCAAACAATAGCACAAAGTTAATTAAATCAGTTTTAAAGTAAACAATGTTTGCCCACTTGTTGCTGTCACTACCACCACAGAGGATGAATGCTAATTAAATAGCCGCAATAAATTCACAATATCATTTCCATCCAGCTAAAGATGCATTTGTAAGGTCAAACAAACTACCACCACAGCCTCCAGATAAAAGAGCTTTTTTTCTATGATTGCCTACAACATCTCTTTGCAATTTCATCATCTTGAGGGATCATACTACTGCTCCAGATTGATAGCCTTTCACAGGGCCTTTGTGGTCACAGAACAATAGGAAATGAGCGGGAGGCCTCGATGTGACACATGTGGTGCATTTGATTACCATCCTAGACTTGTTTGTGTAACAGGATCTCGGGGTGAAGCAAAAAATACTCATAACTGAATCATAAGTGTTGCAGGGGGGAGAAAAACATGAATTCATGGCAGCACATGTGAGAGGGACATCTTCTGTTTGAAAGCAAGATCTAATAACACAAGATATGATGAAATAAAAGAATTGCCTTCAGAATACAACACCACCTATGTCTAATATGTCCACATAGTATTAGTATCTTGGACTGTTCACAATAATCACATCCATTATAAGTGTGCTTGCTAAACCAGCAGATCTACTAGTGTTTTCACTATTCATTGGTCCAACCTGTTTGGCAACAACTAAGAATCAACTTTTGATATATAGGCTAAACAGTAGGGACTTTGAAGCCACAACCCATGTCCTAATGTGAGATTTAGCAAACGGAGTCTCCCAGTCTTTGTTCACTGTTCCTCAACTGGGAGTGGTTACTGATAAAGTTTTTTTTTTCCTCCCCTTGCAGACATTGCTGCTGTTTGGGGGAGGGAGTGTTCCTCTCATAATGAGTGTACTCTGGAGAGTGAATGAATATCAGCATTGATTGTGTAATGCATAGCTTTAAGTTACCATCAGTGTCTCTTTGGGTGGTTTTGAGCTCGGAGGAGGGGCTTTTATTTTTGCATTATAGCCTGTGGCTGCAACTGTAGGTGATTTATCTCACAAACATTAGTTTTACAAGTTTTTATACTATCCAATAGTCACATAAGTGAAATCATTTTGTCTTAATGTAAAACACAAACATAGATTTGATGATCTTTTAGTAAAAGGCTTTAAGGAGCTTCCCCTCTCCCTTTAAGATCAAACATTTACAGACAGCACCATATGGCTTTATCATAATGTGTGTTTAGATGGCAGCAGGTTTAAATGGATATAGGGGTTTTTTTGTTGCCATGTCTGGTGTGGTGAAATAGGAAGAACCTGAAATTTTCTCATGATTCAACCAACCTGCTTCTGCAAAAAGAAAAAAGGAAAAAAAGCCTCATGTAACTGTGAAAAGTTTGAGGCACCCCTCCCCCATCTCCACATGGTAGCTGATGCATGACGTGAGAACGTGGAAGTAAAAGGGCAACACATTTCTTTCTCTCTTTTTTTTTAGGTGAGTTCAATGCAGCACATTGCTCATCCAACACAGTGTTGTTGTAGTTTAACTCCCAGTGTGGCAGCTTTAAAGCAGCTTTATCAACAGGCTGGCACACGGCCAATGAGCTAAACAACAGCAGAAAACTTCATAATAGACTGAATCCACTGTATATAAATGGAACTGTAACCTGGTTTGGGTTTTTCCTTTTATTTGTTTTGTTTTGTTTTTGTTTTTAATACAAATCCATCTCACATGATACTGATCAAGCAGTCTGATGTGAGTAAGTTGGCGGCTCTTTAGCGGGGTGGGATACATACAACAGTATCGATCACACTGAGTGATCCACTTTATGTTTCATTGGCGTTGATTAGTTGAGGATGTGATCACGTGACCGTTTTTTTTTTTTGGAGGAGGAGGAGGTGAGAGAGGGGGGCAGCCGTCGTGAACGCGCTCCATCTTCCCCCCTCGAGAGTCGTCGTCCGTCGTCGTGGGAGCGCGCCTGAGGATTCAACAGCTGCACAGTTGAGACTCGGCGAACAAATATGATCCAAACAAATTGACCAAGGTGAGCCCGCTGTCCGCCGCCGTCGAGACGTGTGAAGCCGAGGAGCAGCTCACCACACACGGCCGAGCTCTCTCTCTATCTCTGCCCCCCCCTACCCCACCAACACACTCCTCAGCCCTGTCACTATCAGTACGGAAACTCTTGAGTTGGTAGGTATTGTTTGGTGAGTTTCTGCAGCTTGGTCGAGGCGACAGAAGGGCAGTTTGCTAACATTAATGTCGTTAAAAGTGACTTTTTGTCTCCTTTTTGCTCGGAAGGGGCCGACACTCACTACTCGGAGACGTTAGCGTGCTGTTGTGCTGCTTAACTTTTAAAAACAAATGTAAAGGTATTTCGCCATTTTTTTTCTTCCAGATATAACGTTATCGTCGTGTTTGCAGTTGATTTGAGTCAGTTTTTTGTACATTTATTTTAAGCTTAAAGGAAAAAAAAACGAAAACATGAGTCACGTTGAAAACAAAGAAGGGAATTCCTCGTGCTCGGCTTATGATGCACATATAGAAATGTAATAGCCACCGTCTTGAATAATTAGACGTTAAGCTGGTGTATTTGTTTTTTAATTTTTTTTAAAGCATCCCCTTCACGTGAATGGAGAGTCGTGAATAACAAGGTGGCTAACGTTAACGCTGCCTCACAAAGCATGCGTGGACCTAAAAGCACACACAGGTCATTAACGGTACGGAGAGCTGCTCGTGCTCACCTGGATCTTAATGATGTTTAGTAAAAAAAAAAAAAAAAGTCAGTTAGCTCGTGTTACCAACATTTATAGAAGGCCTCGTTTGCTCATCAGCTCCATTGTCCAGTACATGTAGATAACACAAGGTGGGTTGATGTTTTAGGGTGCATTTAAAATCCAACTTACTGGGCGTTTTAATTATCTTTGACGACTCTATTTGAAAAGAAAAAAGATGTATATATATATATATAGGGGGGGGGAAGCCTAAAAATTACTTTCACATAAGCATCCAAAATCGCTTTCTTGAATAACAAGGTGGCCTCACAACGCATGCATGTACTTTGATAATGTCATGGAGGGCTACCTGTGCTGACCTGTAATCAATGCTGCCAGTTGAACTCATCAAAGCTCATGATAAATAGTGAAAGAGTTGACAGGTAATGGTACAGAGCATATGGTTGAAGAGAATTAGTTTCATTTACTGGAAGCTTAGAGCTGGGACTTCCTCTCTCGCCGCCTCCATTGGTCCAGTTGTTACGCTATTTACTGCTGACTTAATGTAGATTCATGTTTTAGGGTTAAATGGGATTTTGTTAATTATTTTCTTAATTATTCTTGATTGAAGTTGGTTGTAAGTTTTGACTGCAGTATTTTATCTTTCTACAATCTACATTGTGACATAAAACAATGCAGGAATTTTCACTAGCTTATATAATATTTAAATATATATATATGTATACATATATATATATATATATAAAGCTAAAAATTAGTTTTTACTTTGAAAACTTTTGAAAACAGTGTTTAAAAAAAAAGAAGAAAAAACGGTTCTCCCTTCCTATCCAGATCTGCACTCGCCGAACAGAGTTTTGCTGATTTAAATGGTCAAACAAATTAGTCGTGAGGCCTCATGTTGTGGCAACAAGTGCAAAACACTGTTGACAGAGAACCTGTTTTTGGTCATCATTCTTTCTGTAGCCAAAATATATTAAACATGGTGATCTCTTAATGTAGATTAATGTTTTAGGCTAGACTTAAAATGGTGCTGCAACAAACCGTTATTTCCATGGCTGATTAATGTGCTTATTATTTTGTTGAAATATTGATTAGTTATTTCCTCAGTCAGTATTCTGTCAGTATTGACATTATACTGAGCAATAATCAGCTCAAACACGTAGACTCATGGTGAATATTTTCTTTGAATAACCTTAACTTTACAAGATACTGAGCTTGCTGGCATACAGGCAGGCTGAAAACTTAAATCAAAACTACAAAACACCGTATGAGTAGTGCCACACCAGATCTAAATTCCATTCAAAGCAAAAAAAAAAAAAAAGTATGCTGGATGCCTTTGAAAGTGTTACACCATGTAAGAAAGGCTCCAAATGGCTTTTTTCAGCTTTAAAAAAAAATTAAAAAATGTAGATACACTCCTACAAAATCATCCTAATTATTCCAGAACAATTATTTTTTTCCCAAATAATTATTCAGGTTAGCTGGTGAGAATTCCTGTATTTTTTTCATATTGCAGTATTTAGTGCAGGAAAAGCTAAATATCACAATGTCAGTTTCTTCTCGTATTATGCAGTTCTGTATATAATATCAGGAAACAGTAAAAAAGGTTGATTTGTATTTCCCAAAGCCCAACATGATGTCCTGTAATGACCTATTTTGTAGACAACCCAAAGATAGTCAGCTTACTTTCAGAAATTAGGAAAGAGGTCAGAAAATATTAAAGTGTAAGAAGCTGGAATTAGAGAACTTAGTTTTTTCTTTTTTAAAGTTACACAAACCAGTTAATCCATATGACAGTGGACGATGATTAGTTTAATCGCTGTCAACTAATTGCAGCTTTAATTTAAAAAAAAAAAAACATGAATACTGTGAGGCTACAATGGACTGTCATATGTTGTGCTTTTGTCATAGTCTTCATTTCCATTTGCACAAGCCTGAAGCCTTTAAACTTGCAGATCCAGTCGCTCCACTCTGGAGCCAATCAAACTATTAGCATGATTTAAACATTATATCTGTTCATTATACACGGTGAAAGTACTGCTATGACAAAACCCCAGGGAGGTTGCCTCAGTGCTAATAAAACAAAAGATTACACACCAGGAGCGTAGTGTATAAATGTGCAATCTGTGAGTCAACAAGGATTATCGGATCGTCTGCAACTTAGATGAAGCATTTTGGATTTTAAAGGCATGTGGCTGTTGTTAAAAAACCAAGCCCATAGATGGTATTTCAAGACAAATTTTTGGATGTGAATAGAAAACCAACAGCCGCAACACAAAAAAACATGATATTAACAGCTGCGTCTTTGGTATTTGAATAATTGCTTCTACCTAGCTGCAGTCAAATATCAGCTACTTGTCATCCGAAACAAAGTAATTTACAAAAAAAGCTATCAAATAATCTGTAGAATATTAACAGTACTTTTGTTTACTTTTCTTGCTTAGTTTTACGTTTTTTACTGATGTCCGTACATTTGTGCACTATCCCCTTCGTTGCTGTAGCTCTGCAGATTATCCTGCTTTGGGGTTATTAAAGCATTTTGTTGTTTTATGACAGTTTGAACCTACACTGTGTATCAATATTGACCCTATTAAGTCTGATTTTAAGTGTACCAAAATCTGCAGTGGAGTCCTCGCAAACTTAGGCTGTGTATACTGTATACTAAGGTATACACACTAAGAAAAACAAACAATAATGCCTGAGCAGAATAAACATAGTTTTAGGTGTTGTCAGTGGGCAGCACATAGAGGAAATGAGTTGTCTTTGTTGTTGATTGCCTAAAAAGATACATTTCCTGTTTCACTATAAGAGAACGCAATTCTCTCAGTGGTGTATTTTAAACCGATTTTATCTTGAGTTAGGTGTACTAGCTGCTGGATCTTGTTTTGATATTGATCTAAGCCTAAAACACTCTCCCCATTCTCTCCAGGTTCCTAATATTCTGGACAGCAACATCGGAGGAAGATGCCGACTCACTCGTTGCTGCCATTTGTGGACAGCCCAGATGGACTTGCCCAAGATATTCTTATTAGTAACAGTGCAAACATCCCGGGGCCTGGCTCTAGCATGACACCACACACCAGCTACTCAGAAAAGGCTGTGTCGCAATCTGGAGGAAGTACACCACTGTCTTGCATGTTCTGCGATCACACTTTCACTCATCAGGATGAGCTAGGCCCCCACGTGTTAACACAGCACCCCACCACGTTCTTTGAACCGACTGTGCTTCGGGTTGAAGCAGAGTTCAGGATCCCAGGAGACAGGCCCCGATCCAAACCGAGCAGCCTCGCAGCTGAAAAAGAAGAAGTTCACAGCTGTATTGTGTGTGGACAGATATCACAGGACGCCAGTGAGTTGGAGACCCACATGAGGAAGCACAAGGACTACTTTACCTACTGTTGCAATGTTTGTGGACGGCGCTTCAGAGAGCCGTGGTTCCTCAAGAACCACATGAAGATGCATGTGAAACCAGGAGCAAAGAGCAAGGCCCAGCAAGACCTGGATACCCCAGTTACAGTCAATGGTGTCATCCAGGAACCTGCTTCAGAGCCAGTGGTCACTGTTTACAATATGTGCATGGTTTGTGGGTTTTTCTTCCCAGACCATGACAGTTTGGTTGAACACAGCAAAGTTCATAATAGAGAGGTGGAGCCTGACAAAGACAAGGAGAAGTTGGATGGCACTACTGAATCCTTTACCAAACAGGAAACATTTCTTCACAGTCTAAATCTTTTGCCTTGCTCTCCAGGAAACGGTTTGCAAGATGTGAGATCATCAAAATGGATTCCCCAGCTAGACCCCTTCACCACATATCAGGCCTGGCAGCTTGCTACAAAGGGCAAGATAGCTGTTGGGCCTAACAATACTAAAGATATCGGCCAGGACGTCAGCACAGACAATGAAGACTGTGGCTCTGTCAAGGAGGAAATGAATAATATTTGGCCTGAAGGAGACAGAACTGGGAAAGAGGTTCTTGGGAGAGAGCTCCGGTCTCAGCAGCAGGCTGCTGCAGAAAGCGTGAACCCACAGCGAAGATCTCTAATGCAAAAAGATAGGGACAAAGAGAGGCCAACCAGCTGTGAGGAATGTCAGAGAACCTTCAGGACATACCACCAGTTAGTTCTCCACTCCAGGGTCCACAAGCGTGAGAGAGGTGGCGAGGAAAGCCCGACTTGTGCTGATGGGAAACTGTCAAGAGCAGGATCACTGGAGCATGCAGAAGAGGGCTCTGAGGAGGGCTTTGAGGAAAACCTCGGATCAGGTAAATCTGGGTTTCTGTACACACACATGTGATCTCACTTCTGATTTAGGAATTTTACAAAGAACCCCAAGTGCTCCCTCTGCTGATGAGAGGGATGATAACACTTTTGTGAGTTAATCCTGTTTCATTCTTTTCTATATTGCATGTATTTATGTGTCTGTATCTGTTTTCAAAGGTGAAGATGGGTTTGATCGATCAAAGGTCAGATCAAAAGAATGCAGCTACTGTGGCAAATCATACAGATCAAGCTATTACCTCACAGTTCATTTGAGGACTCACACAGGTATATTTAGCACATTTGTTTTGAATATTTACATTACATGTAACTGTATATATTATCTCAACTGTATAAAGTAGATCTAAAACCCCTACTTGTATCTTTTAAATTCATTCAAAACTCTTTCTTTCAGGTGAGAAACCGTTCAAGTGTGCTTACTGTGATTATGCTGCAGCCCAGAAGACTTCATTAAAATATCATCTGGATCGACGTCACAAGGACAAACCTTGTGTGGAGATCTCCAGCAGACCTGTGCCTTCCCCTAATGGTAGAAAACATGAAAATGACATGGAAAATCCTACCCCAAACAGATCCAAACTCTGGGTTCCTAAAGCCAAATTGTACACCAGTGGAACACCAGAGGACAGATCTGATAGCGTAGACGGCAAGCTTGGCAAACCACTCGTCCAGGGTAATGCTGAGAGTGAGAAATTAATTGCTAAGTCTGCTTACTCTTCGCCTGATGATGTGCTCATAAAGTGCCCTGTACCTGTTAACCTGAAGAAGGAAAAGGAGGAGACAAAGGAAGAGAACTCTGAGGCCCCATTAAATCTGTCCTTAAAAGTGTCTCTCTCCATCCCTGCCAGTGCAGAACCAAGAAATGCATTAATTCCAATTGCCTGTTCATTTTGTGCATATAAAACCATGTACCCAGAGGTTCTAATAATGCACAAAAAGCTGACTCATAAAGACAAGTCAGACAGTACCAAAAAGAATGGATTTGGAGGCAATGTGAAACAAAAACGTTATACAGGCTGCCCCCCTGCGCTCGATGGTAAAGATGTTACCCCACTTCTGATGACTGACAGACGCCACCCTCGTCGTACCAAGTCGCCGCCACCTCAACCCGCAAAACCACAAGAAAATCCGCCTGTTAACCCTCCTCCTGGCCCTAAGCAGTCCTCCAGCCACGCACCCCCACGTGATGTCTCCCAGAAGACCCTGCGTTACAGACAGAACACTGATTCACATCCCAGTCAGGAATCCTCCAGGTACACAGAGATCATGAGAAAGACCAACACAGCCAAGTACGTCATGGACAGAACTGGCCCTCCGGACAGAGTGGGCATCGGTGAGAGGAGTTACCCAGCAAGAAGCGGAGCCATTTGGCACTCGGATGCCGCCAGGCTCTGCCTGTCCAGCCGATTTGGGAGCCTCCCCCAGATGGATTTTGGTGAATCATCCAGCAAGAGATTGAAGTACTCTGTTCCTGCAAGGAGGGAGGCTGAGGCTGGTGAGAAGGCTGATTTTCGAGGAGCATCAGGGGATGGACCGAACATGCTGCTTAATACGGGGAGAAGTGTGAAAACCCCATCGCAAGGGCCAGGGCCATCCACAGCTTCAGAGGCGTTGGGTCCTGTAAAGAATTCAGCCACATCTATTGGAGGTTTGGACACTGACTGGAGCATGATGAACCTTCTACACTCCTACGCACCCAGTGACTTGGCATCTTTCTATCACAGCACACGAGCAAACCCCAGTCACGGAGGACTGGCCAACCCAAGAGCAGGTATGTATTAGGGTAGCTGCTTCAGCTTACTATTATTATTATTTTTTTGGTCATTTTTACACATTAAAGTATTCTGTATTTGCATATTCTAGCAATTTGTAGAGTTAATAGTAAAGATTTTTTTCTCAGGGGGCAGAATTGTGCTGTACCAACACTTACCCAGTCTACCCAACCTGCAGAGGAGAGACCCCTCACGCTCATTCCCTAATCAGCGCTATGGCACCACTGACAAAAGTACCTAAAGTAAAAAGCACCAAGGTAAAAGGATGTAATATTTTGAAACACACACAGCAAGGTTTCATTTTTTTTTTGGCGGGGGGATTTTCAAACTCACCAGAATTATTAAAAATAATTTTACCTTGCGCTTGATATTTATTAATCAAGTCGTGTTTGAAAATGTAAAAAGCCTTTTGCCGCGTTTCTAAATTTAAACTGTGCTGCTACCTTATTTTGGAGAACTTCTTGGGAAAATGTGTTTGATGTACAGGTTTAACAAGAGAGATGGTTTGTGCTCAAAGTGTGTCAGCGCTCCCCTAATTTAATATTGTTTCAATAGAGGAAAATTTGCGTTGTATAGAGATTTCAGGGCTCAGGATTTCAGTGGACTTTTTTTTTTTTTTGGAATGGAAAAGGGCAGATCATCTATCTTTGAATTTAATTCCACTGGTGTGCACTGTGATATTTCTTTCCACTCAAAACTGTTGCTCAATCCGTATTTAACCCACACTAATATTCAGATATCTATGACAGTAACAGTATGTGGGATAACGTAAACACAGCTGTAAATTTTCAGTATCTAAAAATGTGTTAAGCTAAAACCTAAGAAAAACATGTCTAAATGTGCTGCTCTGTTCACGTACTGGTGATGTCCAGGCAGTAATTACGTACTACTCTGTATCTTTTTTTTTTTTTTTCTTTTCCAAAGCACTGGCAGGTGGGAAGTTTATGTCAAATAACTTGATGGCTTCGGCCCAGTAGTTTACAAACAGGCCACAGTAACAATTCCTTCTGTGTGTTAAAGTGTTCTACCTCATGTTGTGCTCAAGACACTTATTTTTGTAAAGCTGCTGCAGCTATCACGTCAGCTGAGCCTATACACAGAGTCGTCTATCAACTACAGACAGATGTTTTGAGTCGTGGTCGTGTAGGTGTGTTGCCATGTGCTGGAATGTCACAGCATTTGTCAAACGACGCAAGCTCATCTGATGACAGAACAACTACTACTGATGAACTGTAACACAATTTAGGTTGGGGATTTATTTCATATACTTCTATACAATCCCAGATTTAAGCACAGAACAGATTCTGATTTCATTATTTGTCCTTTTCAAAATGGCAAATGGCTATCATCTACTTTAGTGATGCTTCACATCTATCAGCTGTAAAATGCACCGTTTTTCATGCAGTTGTGTGTGAAATGGTCATGCTGTATTATTTTATTGCTGCACATTTAGTCACTGTTCAGGAGTTTGCTTTGACTATGCAGAATCTTGAAAGTGTTGTTTTGTTTCAAGTGGCAGCGGTCGGTGTTGGCTGGCCATCAAGTGGCCTTTTTAGATGTCATGACTGTGCAGTTTTTGGTAAAAAGATACAAAAGCAGCTATGCTGATTAATGATTCAGTTAACTGTACACTGTGAACAAAAGAGTCTCAGGTTAACTCATATTTACATGTGACGTAGTCTATTGTGTAATTTAGTGTTTGCCAATTTGAAAGGCCTAGGTTAAGTTATTTGTGTTTTGGTTATTTTTTGTTTTTCACATTACATGTGTCGTTATGTAAAAATTAAAATATTGTTTTGAGATTTGTATGACACATTTCAATAATAAAAACAGAGACGACAAACTGTCTCGTGTCTCTTCATTTGTTACCATATACACAGTCTTCTACTCTGCATAGAAAACAGATTAAGCTGCAGTTTAGGAAACACTAATTAGTACTACTTGGCCTGATGAAACTGTTTCTAAGTTTGTGATAGAGTGTGGCAGGAAGAGGTCACAAATGCATGTGGTCGGCTGTGTTGTAAAACAATTTGTCTGATAACAAAGCTCTTTCATATTTAGTCATACCTGTTGCAAATCTAATGTATGCTGAGACTTGCTGAGAGAACCATTGCTAGTATAGCTTTTCATTTGTCTATTCTAGTTTTTAGTTCACTTGTTTTTAGTAATTATCATACTTGTGTGTTATTGCTATCCATTAGGCGCTGCATTTATTGTCATGTAATTGTAGTTTTCCTGAGTGATATCTGGCACATTTTTTCACATTTTTTTTTTTAGTTTTGATCCACTTGCCCTTTTTGAGAGAAGTATCACTGCAAATCAATACAAAATTATTCTGAGTGATCACCTTTATCCCATAATGAGACATTTCTATCCTGATGGGAGTGGTCTCCTCCAAGATCATGATGCCCTCATTCATAGGGCACGAGGGGTCGCTGAATGGTTTGATGAAAATGATATGAACCAGATGTTGTGGCCTTCACAGCTGCAGATCTCAACCTAATTAAACACCTATGGCGGAGTTTGGAGTGACGACACTCTCCTCTACTTTCATCAAAACGCCAGATGAGGGAATATATTTGGGAAGAATGGTGTTCATCATTCCAGTAAAGTTCAGAGACTAGGAGAATCAGTGGCAAGGCCAATTGAAGCTGTTCTGGCAGGATGTGGTGGTCCAGCATCTAAGACACTTTATGTTGGTTTTTCCTTTAATTTGTCACCCGTCTGCAGAGGTTTACATACAGTATGTCAATTTTGGATTGGAAATGTACTTGATCTAAGTCAGTGAAAGGTCTGTGGAAGTTGTATATTGCTCGATCTTCTAGTTTTAGGTCTTGGAAGACATGATTGACCTGTTGATTGGGTAGATAATTGTAGCCCTCTGTAGCTGGGCGTGATCCCCACTGTCTCATCAGCAGCTGCTGCAAGACTGGCACCAAATGGAAAATGGAAAGCACCTTTACGAGCATCCCTGCACTGGCTACCTGTTAAATACAGATTCTTTTTTTTTTTGTTGTTAATAAAGCAATGCATGGGTCAACAGCTGGGTCAGAACTTCTCTACCTTTGCTCTACCTCCAGCCTCTCAGGTCCTCAGTACAGCTGCTGTTAACTGTTAAAGCACTGAGGCTGGTGGGTAACACTGATCGGGCCTTTGCAGTAGCTGCTCAAGGCCTTGAAACAGCCTCTCTCAATGAAATGGTCCTCTTCTGTTAATGTTTTTAAGCAAAATCCCAAGACATCCATGGTTTCAATGGCTTATTGTTGCTCTTGATGGACTTAATATTTTAGTATTTTATATCTTTTTTTTAATTTTAGAAACTTGAAATTTGGATAGTAGCTACATTTACACTCAGCCACAATGAGTTTAGGTTCACCTGTTTCCTCTAATCAACAATTTAATACTTAAATGAAGTTTTTGAATGAATTTGCTCAACGTTATATTTGAGAACTGCAAAGCTTTTGTATGTGGTTTTCATTCAAGGTGGCTTAAAACCAGTGATGATATAACTATATTCATAACATCTGGGGAACACAGGGAGAAGTCACTCTGCTGATTTTTATGCCTCACCATCTTTTTAAACAATATTATCAGTGTGCTACAACCAGGAGACATTGTGGTTCAAAGATGTACCCGGAAGCCTGGTTTCGTTCACTTGCTCCAAGGGGTCCTGCTTCCCGCGATGACAGCTTCAGCAGCGGATTCTCTGTCTCTGGATCTGAGGGGCACAGACTTCGATAAAAATTAATTCAGCCGTGATTTGTTTTTGCATGCTCACCACCTTCCCTTCCGAGCTCCTCACCAGTTCCAGCATCAGTGGACTGTAATATTTCAGGAACAGGATTATCATTTCAGAGTAAGACTCCCCCAGAAATGATAAAGGCTTGGTGCATCGGCCTCGTACCTCCATTACATCCAGACTGAACAAAAGAAAACTCTTCAGACAACATGCTTCAGTATGCAGTGTGCATTGTATGGCCCACTTTAGCATCAATGACTCAGATTGACCACTAGAGAGCAGTATTTACAAAGTCAAGATTAAAGCCTCGGCGGATTCTAGTTTCTTGCATGTTCAGTCTGAATAGGAGATCTTTGTAGTTCAGTTAGCTTTGATAAAATTGTACACTGCTCCAAGGCTTAGAATAGAATTACAACTATACAGGTAGCGCAAAACATAAGATTGTATCAGCCTTCATACTGAACAAACCTCAACATGCATTTGTTTGTATTTTAAAAAGTGCTTCTTTCTAAATAGGACAAACAACTAACAATAACAACAAATAAACTACTTGCACGGCTCTCTTTGGTTTAAAACTCACAGTAATAAGTGATGCCAGATTTGTGGCTGCACACTAACCGGTGATGTCACACAGGTGTTGTCTGTCAAGTGTCAATCATTGATTGTAAATGATTGTTTTAAGCGCATGCAGCAGGCTTTTATTCCCTGTGTGATTTATTGAGCATGTACTCTTTAAAAGAAGAAGAAAGCCTCCAGAGAGAAGTTTAGTAACAGAGTCCACATCTGCAGACACATCTGCACACTATTGTTGACTTTCTCCATATCTAAAAAAGGAGAAGACTGACAAAACGTATCATGGCTGCGCATTTTGTAAACAACAAATTGCAAGGGACAATCTTCAGCACATTGAACACTTTAAACTTTGATTTTTTTTTCTCTCCCCCCCCTTCTTCCTCCATCCTCCTCCCTTTTTGAGTAGATCACATCTGTTTGCTGTCTGTTCCCCTGGGCCAGCACTGTGTAATCTATTGCATTAGCTCACATTAGTGCATATCGCCCATGGGCCTTGGTAATCACAAACGCAAAATGAGCATTTCACTTAGCATCACCCTCATATTCCCTCACACTGTGGCAAACTTAGTGCAAACGCATGGCAGAGAACGCAAGTCGACAACAGCTTATGACATCCGTCCCGTTACGCTCAATCCCCGTGTCCAGAATGCTGCAAGGGTTTTTGTGTCAAAAGCTCCTTTAACAGGCAAACATACACACTGAGTTTTCCCCGTGTTTACTTTCTGTTCTGTGCTTTATTTTTGTTTATAATTTGTGCCCGTCAAGAAACCTTAATATTTCCGTGTTTTCTGACAGAATTTTTAACCTACATTTTTATTTTTGAAGGCATCATCAACCCCAAATTTTGCTTCACTCAAGTCAGTTACTGAAAACAGATTTTAGTGTTTTGATTATTTGACCACATCTTTTTTTTTTTCATTCCCCCTCAATACCATGCCTCTTCACCAATTATGCACAGACATCTAGACAAGGATGACCCAAGAAATTACACGTTTCAGGCGAATTCACTCGGGACTTTATTATAATTTTTTTTTAATTCTTTGGCATAAAACACCTGAGGTCTTCACGGCTCCTTATCAAGTTTCTTTCATCACATTAGATCTGGTGATAAGGATTCCCACAGCAGCCATTTTAATGCACAATTCAATACACAAATGGCATTTTATGCATGCGTTGCAGTCCATTCATCTGTTCAGTGTGTTTGGTTTTACAAGAGGTTATGTTGACTTTTGGATCTGCGACCGAGGATGTGTTTAGCAATTTCACTATCAAATCTCCTGCCTCCCTCCCTACTTGTAAAGTAAACTTCATGTTTTTTCTCCCTTTAAGTGCTCTCTCCTCTTATTTTCAGTCCTTTCATCAGTCATAATTGTTGCCTCCAGATTGTCAACTTGCATGAATTAGCAATTGGGCCAACAAAGCGGATACGGTCAATTGTTGAATATCCTGTCAGAATTCGAGGCTGAGAGTCTGCTCTGGCTGTGATTGCTCATCATCGTCACCCCATTCCTCTGAGGAAGAGGAGCAATGTAATGGTTCCCGCAAAAACAGCCCCTGGCCTAAGGAAAGGGATTTGGGTGTCTAGAGACAACAGAGGGCCATATGGAGCGGGCTGAGATAGCAAGGCACATGTACAGAATAATGGATGACGTGTCATGTTTCATGTTGCAGAGAAGCCATCAAGAGACTTGGGTTGGGGAAATCAAAAGGCTCACATACAGCAAAAGCGACTGTTGGACCATTTAGCATTTTTTGTTTATTTTTATGTTGGGGGGGGAGCTGAGCATGTAGCCCTGAAGAACATGCTGCTCTATTTTCAGTACCTGTGATGTGTTGAGGTTATTTATAGGTGAACACAAATTTGATTGGCTATTAAATGTAAACCTGTATGAGGTGGCTTTACCAGCATAATTAACCAACCACCTGTTTAATGAGAATAACAAATGTTATATCAGAAGGAAGTGAGGGGTAAGTAAGAGAGAATTTGTATAACAAGTACAAAAATACAGATGACTTTCTATGAATCTTTTTAAGCAGACTAGTGTCTGTCTCATGGCAATGTTGGTTGGGTGACCACTCTGATTTTGACCATGGACTGTAAATAAACCTTCCAAGATGTCATTTCTAGGTTTCATGACCAGCAGTTTAGAAGCTCAGCGTGGTGACTCTGGCGGTCACTGCTTGGTAGTATCTGACTCCTCCTAACTCCCAGCTTATCCATGAACAAGCAACAAGGTGGAGCGTATGTGCAGTTGAGGCAGGCCATGCAAGCATATGTCTTATGCATAGCCTTAATACAATTTAAATGGGTGAGTTATATAAACGTTCACACCCCATACAGTTGTCATGAACTTGTAAATTAGTTTTAGAGACCAAAACTGCCCTATTATACCAGGTTGTAAACATGTTTATTTCTGCTGTAAAGGTGGATATTTTAACATGGGGATTGATTTGCTTTTGGAGCCTCTAGTGGTCATTTGAGGAAC